AAAGCCCACTCCCTTTACATCCACTAATAGAAACCCAAATTGGTTCAATCTCCTTGCTATTATCTTTGATATCCTCAACTTCAACAAGATGTAACTCACATTTTACATATAAAGCCACTCCTCCCCCTATTCTTGGTAATATCTGCTAGTTAAAAGTAACATGTCATAATTTGTTTCAGATGCAAGATTCCTCTTATGGTTACATTGTCTGAGTCATTTAATGGGTTTTCCTTGGTTAAAGGATGTTTTTATGGGAGACTGTGAAAAAAATTTGATTTTAATACAATTACATTAATTTTACGACAGTACTTGAAGCTTACAGCTAGTCTGTGATATTTGTGTGTGGCCTAATTACAGTATAGTCTACTGTTTCTTTTATTAATGTTACTTAAATAACAGAGAAGTTTGGAGGCATTTTCAAGAACAAGATTACGAATACTGACTTCACCAGGGTTTGGTTTGAATTTTGTGCAAAGCTACATGAGGGCTATATGTGCTAGCCATTCCTAATTTAGCAGTGAAAGACTAGAGAGAAAGCACTTAGTCATCACCACCTACCACCAACTGTTGGACTACTCTTTTACCAAGAAATAGCAGGACTGACCATCACATTATAACACCCCCATGGCTGAAAAGGCAAGCATGTTTGATGGTAAGGGAATTTGAACCCGTGACCCACAGAATGCGAGTCAAGCACTTTAACCACATAGCCATGACAGGCCCTTCACCAGGGACAAAAAATTTCAAATGTTTAATATATACTTTATTATATGCTCATAAAATCAGAAGAGTGAGAAAGGTTACAGAAGTAGTAGGAAAAAATTAACAATATATAGTGATTGTGGTGTAGGAATGAATTGTACCGACATTTCTTTCATCAATGGTGTTAAAATTTTGGGTAAGGAAGGTGTCTTTAAAGATTCTCGTCCTTTGATAAAGTCACTGAGCTCTTGAGCACGTATTAAGTGTTGTTTTTATTGATAATTCACTTTCTTTTGAAAACAAAAAGTTAAATATATGCTTGAAATTAAATAAACTAGAAGTATTTACAAAATTTTATTCATCCAGTAATTCATATACAACTATGGCACAGAAACCAATCATTTCTGCTGGTTTGATTAATGAAATGGAAATCAACCTTACCTCATCATTTTTTGTACTATACAAATGAAAGAGATTACAATGAATGGACAAAAAGAAATTGCTTTTCAACTAACATAAATGACCCACACGATAGTTTAGTTTTTAAACTGTCCTGTAAGTAGTGCCATACCCTTTATAAGAATGACCCATTTAAGGTTTATTCTTTTATGTTTGAGAAACAATTGTTTCAAATTATGTTAACTATTAGTGTTAAACTGAAGAGAACTGATCACACCTATCACAACCCAGCTTCGAGAAAATTTTTTCTCAGAAATTTCATCAACTCGCTGAATGATCAACTATCATAATGAACATATTTCATTACATTCATACCCTCTAACATTCGAGTTTCTGAAATACTGGTCCTTTATTAATATTAACAAAGTATTATATTTTACTGATAAGTGAGAATTTCAGAACTCTGTGAGATATAAACACTTCTCATGAAGTAACACATCATAAACTTAAATTTAAATCATGTGGAAAATTGTGAAAAGAAAATGGCTGTTAGTATTGCATATCAAATCCTGATTTTCTTTTGTCATGACATGTTAACTTGGCATTTCTTATGTACTGAAAATAAATTTCACAAAACACATACAAACAAACAGGATAATAATTTCAACATATCAACAAAGTACACTACTTTTTTCTGACACTATTTGGGGGGGGGGGGGTCTTCCAAAAAAGTATTTCCTTGCTATATATATTTTTTTGATTGTCCATGGTAACTACGTAGTATACAAACAGTGATTATTAAATAAGCAACTTTTTGTTTTATGGTACCCTCACTAATCTCAATTTCTTTTTTAAAAGTACACGAACCACTAAAACATGCCATAAAACTTGGCACGTCTATTATATTGAATATTAATTGTGCGCATTAGTCCCAATCAACCTCTAATAAAAGTTATAAAACTGGAAGATTGAATCTTATAAACTTCAGATCAAAGAGAAGATAAAGAAACAAATGGCCCCTGTGTTGTGCTGTATAATACCTGCATATTAAGGTATAAAATAAAATAAAATAACGGACGGCCTATTTTTGCAATAACTGTAAAATGTTCTCTATGGCAGTTAATACGTTTGAAGGAAGGACACTATATATATAGTACACATTATTACTACAAAATATTCTTATTTTCTAGGCAACGTCTCCTCTCTGCTTGGCTCTCCCCATCTAAATTCAGAATAAATACAAACCAAGTTAGTTATATAGCTATAATCTTCCAATGTGCATTTAACAGACAATTAAAAACACTTACAAAAATACTGAAAAAAATAAACACTCGGTATACATAAGGAAAATTTAGGCATGTTTATAGATTCTTTTTAAAAAACATGTACACACACATATTAGTTAATAACATGTGACATAACTTTTACTGAGCAATCAATACTTGAATTAGATTAATAAAATTGCTACCTGTGTATATGTTCAGTTAGCAAAACTTAATGGCAAAACTATAGCAATTAAGATGCAAACTAAATAAACCACATCATTTTAAATACTGACTGTACACCTACATGTACATCTCAAATAGACCTTAAAAATAGACCATTTTATTTGAACAAGTTTGGATACTTGCATATGTCTATTACACATTCCTGATTTTTAGATGTATTAATACCACACCTTAAAAATACACAAACAAATTTGTACAAAAATGAATACTGTGTAGTTTAAAAGCGGTCAAGTTCTCATTTTTTAACTGATATAAACTTGTTTTTATGCAATATATTACAGCAAAAAAAATTCAATTTCTCAAGTAAAGCAATACGAGTAATCAATTATCATTTAATAAATTTAACTTTTAAAACCTTACTCAGTGCCAAACAATGCAATATCTTTCCAAACCGTTTTAAAAGTTCCTGAAAAATTTAGGTTAATGCAATGTTGTAACTTTCAAAGACTAACCTACAAACAAAACTATGCCATGCTCATCACCATTTAGCCTTATTTCACTCTGATCAATACTAAAACCATATATTCTGTACCTTATCATAAGTATTTTTTTATTTATTGTTGATTCTTAGCCTTATGATATCCAAGTAAACTGTTGTAGATATAAAGTTTAGGTATATCTGCCATAAAAACTTTGTTTTTAATATCATTGTTTTGTTCTGTTTGTTTTTTAAGCACCGAGTGATTTTTGAGGTTTGCAGCGTAAAAAGTCAGCTAAAACCAAAGAAAAAGTCTGTTGTTCTTGAACCTTAAAGTTAAAAAATGGGCTATTTGCCCTCTCTCCACTTCAAGTAATAGAATCCTGAGTTTTAATGTTGTAAGTTTACTGTTTACCCATTGGGTACAAGATGAATTCCAGTTTCATATATATGAGCAACTCTGGCATTTTAAAGTTGTAAAAGTATGAAACCCACAGGGCATCATGTATTATCTGATGTCTTTGAACAGTTTATATGCCATGCTTAGATTAATTTTCCTTTTCCAGTGCTTGAAAATATTAAGCTAGAGTGAGATATCACACACACACACAGTATGTTCTAGAACATATGTCTAGCTACTTTCAGATGTCAGCAGGACATTATGTATCTATATACAGTTAAAACAGATATGCATAAAAGTACAGCTGATGCTAATAATAAACCAATGATTAACTTTTTAGCTTACCATAATCATGAAGACAACATTATCTGGAATGGCATCTTTTCAATCTTTGGAAAAATTAGTATTACTAAAATCTCTGTTAACAACTCTAAGTTACACTACAAATTTATAATGGCCTGTATTGAATGTATCAAATGCATACACATCAAAAAAGGGGTTCAAAATGTATACTATGTTTCAGTATTTTGATTTACTTTTATTAGGTACAGTTTTCATTTTCACACACAATTTCTTTCTTTATTACAAAATTCAAATATGCACTTACTTTGTAACATAGAAGAACATGTAACCCGTAGTTTGTCGATCTCGGAGAACCTCTTCACTAGTTCTTTCTTTAACTACATCATCGTTATAGTACCACCACTGCTTCTGACTGAAGTCGTACACATCACAGAGATAATGGCCACTCTGTGCTGTCCTACCCACATGACTGACAATAGCACAAAGCTGGTAGGAATATGGCAGATGTCCTAACTGTGGAAAATAAATGCAAATAAACAAGGATACAAAACAACTAATTAGGTATATAAACACAAACAAAAAATTCATTTGTATCTTTAATTCTGATGCTGAAAACAAAAAAGTAGCTCAGTTGTACACTGTTACAATGAACACAGAGAAGCATAAGAAAGAGCATACAAAATCAATAACAAATCAGTTAATGAACATGAAACTCAAACACACAATAAACTTACTTCTAAGTTCTTTTCCATTTCTTCTTTTTCTTCTTTGCTTCTCAAAAGCCAAACTTTCTCGCACGTTTTTTCCATATTTACATTTCTATTTTCATCATCTACATTTCCACTACATGTTGCATCTGAAAGTAGAGATGTGCAAAATTATTAAAACAACTATTTGTAAAATATAACAGAGAAACAATTAACGTGGAAAACACCAGTTACTTCTACAAAATCAGACCAGTTGTTAACCCTATGGAAACAGCAGGATCAATGTGTACATGTCACAACCTTTTTACATTTACATTCCATATTTAACTATACTAATTTAAGCTTTAGTTTCTTAATTTCAAAATGAAATATTTAAATAAATTCTCATTATTCACCTCTGAGTCACATGACACAGACTTCTCACTTACCAGATTTTTTCTCTTTGTTTATAAGGGCCTCAAATTGGTCAACCAATTAAAAACACATACTATAGATATTGACAAGCCAAGACATAAAATTTCAACTTCTTATCCTTTTGCTTTACTTAGATAGCATTATACCTGTTCAACCCAAATCGACACACCCATCCCACATCCTGTCTTTTAAAAAATGTCTATAATATTCCGTCTGACATTGCTATTGCATAGATTTATAAATAATAAAAAAAATTCTAAACAACATAAAACAAACAACTGTCCATTTTGTTTAGTAGTAAAAGCTGACAGTGTGAGAACTTGATATGTTTTGACTAAAGGCACTGCTCCAAGCAGTAATGGCATTTATTTTAAACCTATTTATGGGTTAGTTAAAAAGTCAAGAGAAATTAGTAGTTTTGAGACATTCTATTCTAATATACTTTTCATGTTCTAAAATTAATATTTGAATGCTAGATGAATTAGTTTTGGACAGTTGACACAGTTTACTAAACCATAGAGTGCAAAAGGTCTTAAAGCTAATGTAAGTGCTAAATTTTTAATATTTTTTTTATTTGTTATATATTTTTTAACAAAAGCAACTCAAATGTAAAAATTAGGAAATTATTAGATTAGATAAAAAAAAAACTGTAAAAAAAATATTCTCAAAGAATGCACACAGGCTGCCATCACATGATGTAACTTGATAGTTTGTTTACCCTAACTCACCCCAAACGCTTACCAGGTGACTTACTGTCTTATTATGCTAATTAGACATGGCTAAAATAGCAATAAAACAATACAGTTAAATTAAACTAGAAGTGAAACCATTAGGAGCCTGAGGCTGTTTGAGATAAATCATAGTAATTGTCTGTTACTGTATTTTTGAATATATTTCACATTTTTCAACTTTAGCTATGGATGATTTCACTACAGTTTAGTGTTAGAGAAAACAAGAGAAAAAAATTTACTAAAAAAATGTGGTATTCATTTAGGAGGTGAATCAAATGAAATATGAAACTTGTAACATGAAATGAAGTATTTTTATTCTTAGCATGAAAATCACCTTTCACTCAGACTAATTCAATAAATGGTTTGTAAATTCACATACAAATCTTTCGCAAAAGTACTTTATTAAATAATATGATTTTTAGTGTGAAACAATACTTGTAATGTTTACTAAAAGTTTACAAGTTTCGTGAAAATACTCTTTGTACATTAAGAATTACAGTATGTATAGTTTCATTATGGTTACAAGGTCAATCTTTCAGTATGCATATGGTCATTGCAAGAACCAAATAATGCAGGGTTTGAAACTGGTTCACTATTCTAACATTTGCTCCATCTAGTTACTACAATTCTACACACCTTTTGCAAATTCCATTTTGTAACTTATACAATTTTTATAAAATTATTTACAACACAGAATAAAACTTTTCAAACACTAACCTTGAATGCTATTTTCAATGGCTTTACGAAACTCTTCCTCTTCTCTGTACTTAGCATCCTGAAATTAGTTAAACATAACATACATCATGTACTATCTACTACAAATACAGATTCTCACATTCCTCTGATTGTTCTACGATAAACAGAAATTATTACCCTGCTATGAACTTGTTATAAAATAAATTTCAAATACTGCTTCAGTTCTTCCTAGCCCTAAATCTAGGTTTCACTTAATTACCACAACTGATATATAACTTACGTGAAAAATACAACAATACCACTTATTTTTATTCATAACCAACACAATTTCCACAATGTCCTATACACTTTTGAAGTGATAAGCAGAAGAAAATAAGTAATTTCACTAATGAAGAATAATTAACTTAAAAGAAAAACATACTTAAGATAAAATAAAAAAAAAATTAGTATTTATAAGTGTCATTCAAATACACTTGCATCTTAGCTGAGCATATTATTTATAAAAGCCAAGTTTCCTTCATTATGACTCACCAATAAACTGGATTCTAAAGCTTCTTCTAGCTCTTTTTGTTCTTTTTCTTGATCTTTAATAGGTGATTGCTCCATTGCTTGCTCTAAAATAATTAAGATATTAAAAATATGTTTTTGTTTTAGCCTTTTCACTGATGTACTTCAATTTATCAATCTGATCTCACTTCCTCATTTTCAAAATTAACTATATGCAAATATAATTTTGTCATATAATCAAATTACACCTAGGGTGGTGAAGCATGATCTGTTGATAAGCAAATTGTATGTCACTGCATCATAATAAGGCTGATAAATTAATCATAAAGTGAAGAAAATTCAATAAAAATATTGTTAAGGATCAAGTCCTATTACCAAAATTACAAAAGTGCATGCTGTATTTTAGTAATAACAACAAAGCAAAGCAATCCAAATTAAAGATATATTTGACAATAAAATAATTTAATATTATGAGATAGATCCTAACCAAGTACATTATTTAACTAAGTTCCATTCATATCATCACAACACTGCTCTGTCTATATAATTTCAATCTATTAACAGTTATAATTATAATACTTTAGTCCTAATATTTTACTCTGGCCAAGCCACTTTCTTATTTTATGGATTGAATAGCTTGAGATTTACAAACCAAAAACCTGTCTCACTGTGATACTGTCTTTGGAGTCATATTCTATCATGTCCTTATGCAACACAATTTGACGGAAATAATGAAAAGTTTTATGTCTACCTTTTAAACTTTATTGAACATTACAATATTTCGCTTTAAACTATGAGAGATCCACCAGACCAATGTGGTAAAGTTGTTGTAATACATTTTTGTACCTCTCAAAACTTAAACAACAATCACAAAAAATATCTAAATTAAAAGTTGGAATCACTACAATGATTTCTTACCTGTAGTGTCTGGGGCTTCTTTAACAGGAGTAGATGCTGCTGCAGGTAGTTCTGGTACAGAAGGGTCTTCCCTTCCTCCTCTAAGACCAACAACTGCACACTGTCGATTCCACACTGGCTCTGGTTCTACATTTATTACAGGTCCAATAGCATCGTAGAACTAAAATTAAATTTGATAAAGATGTTAAAAACTAAGTAATATGTTGTTCAAAATGTTAAGACTTGGCAGACTTACACTTTGATTTGATGTTCTTATTACGTAAAGATTAAACCTATCACCAGTCTTATTATGATACATTACCACACAAGTTACCAATCATTAAATCATGGTTTGCCAGCTTATTCACCATAAACAATAAGACTTAAAATTTTTAGTATTGTACTTTATTTAAATGTAAATATTAAAAAAAACAGAAAAACATCGATTTTTGTGTGTAGTGGTATTTTGAATGCAGCACTACTTCAAATTAGATGTTTGTGATGTCCAAATACAAAATGTATAGAGTTTCGTATGAATTAGGAACTCAAATTACCGATATTGGCAAGCTAGAATATATAAGAACCTCTCATCTTTCTTTTCTATTTGCTAATATATTGCTCACATATTGAATCAAATACAGTAGCCCTGCTCACCTTATTCCATTTTTGGAAATGCTCCCTCATATACACTTACTTCTGTCTATGACTTTTGAATAACCAATTGAAAGCTCAGAATGCCCCCCTAGTAGCTTTCTCAGCCATTTTCATGTGTTAGGACACCATCTCATTCATTCGAATCAAGATTTCAAGGAGGTAGGTTGTGTCTTTAGCTGGCTCAAAAGTTCATATTTTTTTAGACCAAAATATAGCTTAGTTACTAAGCTTGATAAATTACAGTGGTATCTTATGGCTTTGATATAGTAATTTATGATTTTTTGGTTATTCAACTGTATATATATTTCATATACTAGACTACTAAAACACAGCCAAGAGAAGTTACTTTGAACAGACCAAAGGTCAGTTTATATTATTGGATACATTAACATGAGAGCATGTATGCCACATCATTGTTGCTTCTGTATTGTTAGCCAGGCACAGCTAAAAAGTCAATATAATAATTATATATAAATGTATAATGGTATGAGAGTTAAGCTATTTAGTCTAAATATTTGTGTTTTCGTGTTATAATTTATTGTCATTCTAGAACAACTTTTTATGGTGGTCACAAGATCAAATCTACTGAACCCGTACAGAGATTCATTAGTGAAAATAACAGACAAAATATAAAAAAATTTCTTAAAAAACATGTGATAACTATCTGGACATTACAATGATTTTGCATGCGAAATCTAAAAATTTTCTGATGCATAAAAGTATTTTTAATCTTGAAATGAAAATCACTTTCAATGTTGGATATGCAACATGCAAAAAGAAAAAAAAAAAGGACATGAGAAAAACATTGCTTAACAGACCTTAAATCTTAATATAAAACTTGATATTTTGCGTATGAAAGCATTGTAATGTTTACTGATAATCTGCCAAATTTCGTTACCATACACCAACTGATTTAAAAGTTATAGCATGAAAATTATAACAAGCACAAAATGGTTATGAGGTCGGTTCCATGATCCGAGCCTGTGCTGAAAGCGTTAAGAAGCTGACCGTTTATCAATTTTGAAGTTACACCACCATTATGCTAGACTATTACATGTAAATAGATGTTATCCTTTCCCCTTTTCCAAACTTTCTGTAATCTCAGGTAACCAACATTCATAGATATTTTCTAGTCATTTTTATCTGTATAAAATAAAAACATTACATAGCCAGTGCAAGAATATAAAATTTCAAATTATTTGAAAATATATCAGCATTTGCTTTTGGTATGGAGAAGTCAATTATATATCATTAAGTTAAATATACATTTTTTCAGCTGAAATAAATACATAACTGGGTCAAGGGATCAAAAAAAGAAGAAAGTCAACACTTTTCTCAAAATCTATTATTGTAAGACTTATATCAGAAATCCAAGTTTTTGACTTCTCACCTTCTGTTGAAACCCCAAAAAATCCAAAAATGTCACCATGAAAAGGGCAGTGTCTGCATTTTACCTAAATAGTTTGTTATGAAACAAGTAAAACATAACCCTTTCTATTCCAAAGAAATGGACAAAGCTGATTACAAGTTAAGAGGTCAACAAGCTTCAGACTCGCATATATTTTATTAATGCATGAAAAAAATCATGTTGAAAAGGATTTATTTATTTTCAACAAAACAAACTTATAAAAAATTGCATTTCTAGAAGAACATTCAAAGAAAAATCATACCAAATGTTCATTTTTGCTTCTTTCAAGAGCTAGCTGAATCTGTTCTTCTTCTGAAAGGTGAAGAAGCTCTGGCGATTCCCATTCAGAACTGTTGGTTTCGAGATGAAAGTACTCTGGGTCGCTAGATGAAGCCTGTAAGAAGGAATACAACTAGAAATTTTAGTATGTAATTAGTATACATACTATTGCATTTCATGAATTAGAATACCTAACTTCAAAATGGCCCCAAGCAACCTACCCTACTGTCAAAGTTATCCAAATAAAAGTAATGGCAAGAAGAGGCAATATTTAGTATTTATAAAACTTTCAATTTACATTGTTCACATTTTCAATTATAAAGCTATCATTTTTACAAAAATTAAATAACACTGGCTACTGATATCATGATCATGTTTTTGATCATATTTCAGAAGACAGTTATTCCTTATTAAACATTCTTAAAAACAATTGAATTAAACAAGAAGAGTGAGCCAGCTACTTCAGATTCACTGTTAATCACTCTCACGTTCATTATCAGTTTTCTGGGATCACTAAAAAATGCAAAACAATTATTATATAATATTAGAAATCTCTAAAACGATCTGTGGTTATTGAAATCCTTTTCACATTCAGTGCATTGTAACGCATTTCAAAAAATTTAAAACAAACCTTTGTTATTAAAGATGTTGGAAGGTCTGTATCTGCTTTATTTATATCTTCAACAATAACAGAATTTTCTTCATTCTTCTTTAGATCTAGTAAGTCATACTTCTGTTCATCTTTTTCATTCTGTTCATCATCTTCTTGGGTTTCATCACTACTCTGTATAAGTCATTAGAACAATAAATATACACACAAAACTAAACTCCAAGTACGTTTCTGGAAAAATAATGATACTGCCATATAAGAGTGTATATATATATATATATACACACATATTTTTCCAAACTTGTACACACTTAATTCTGCACAACATAGCATTTCAACATTACTGGCTTTAAAACCATCAGGCTGACAAAATTACAACTACCATGGTTTTAGCTGAAATGCTCATAAATTATATCAGTCAAGTTAGAGAATTACAACTCTACTGATTTTTAGCTCCAGCTCAATACAAACATAATTTAAAACTACCCATAAGAACAGTAAAAATGATTAAGTTTGTGAGTAACTTAACTCTCTTCAGCCTTGTGGCAGTATTTATATTAATTATTAGTAATCATTAATATTAATAACTTTAAAATTTAACCATGTCTGAAACACAGACACTCCAAACAAGTCAACAGCTACTAAAAGTTTCTGAATTAAAATTTAATTTTATGGTTAATTTACCATTTATAATGAATTAAAGACCATTACACAACACAGCTATAACTGTTATGTTAATTAATATGCTCTTAATTGTTGTCCTAAGGGAAAGGTTTCCCACACATTTATTCTACAAGATAGACAGACTCTGGGATTCTAGTTTAATTTCAGTTCATCTTTGTTCTTACATTACTTTACCCACTTCACAAAATAAGTTATTGTCCCATAAAACGTGTACACACACACACATATATGTATATCTGTTATGTTAAAATAGATAAAGTAACATGGCTGTGGGTAAAGACATAAATATTGGCCTAAATACTGAAAGTGTGGGTTCCCTTTATAAATTATACTCTGCTGACTCAGTGGCACTCCTGATATTCTAACATGTCAAATGTAAATTTCCACATGTAGACCTGTACAAGCACTTCTGACATGTAACTTTAAAGTAATAAAGATTACCACATTCATTTCATTTTTGACCAATCAATGGTGCTAGAGCACAAGACTGTACTAAACCCAAAACAAGTCTAAAAATCTGTCAATCACATCAAGAAGCCTTGCCTCCATAATGACCAACTGAGGCACCAACCAAACTCTTCATGGCCAGGTGAAGTCCATATTTACATTTCTTTGTGTTGTTTATGCTCATTATTGTAAGTCTATGCATAACAAAAAGTAAATAAAAGATAAGAGCATTTGTTGCAAGATTTACATTATTGATGAGTAACCCAACACAAATGCAAAATGACTGTACTAATATAACCCATGAAAAACTTTTAACTACTTCTTATAATGTTATTATCAATGCACTACTGATGTGCAAATCTATGACATTCTGGTATTATTCAAAATAATTACTTTATTCGGAAGTTCCACTTAAACTATGTGATTGTCAATGTACAAAATATCCACTCATTCCTATTTTGAATGTCAAATAATTGAGCACTGTTTTTATTAATATAGAATGTTGATCTTGAAAACAGATTTAACAATACTTGGCATAGAAACAGTGTTTAATCAGACAAATAACTAAAACTTTTGAATTTTCACTTTCAAACAAGAACTGTCATTCATTAATATATATCACATAACTATGATAGATGAGATAGTTTATTCTTAACCTTTTCAATGAATGTTTGCCATGAAAAGAAACTAGATAGGAGGTTTAAACATTCCTACTCCCCAGATAAAAATAAAGCTTAGGGAAGAAAAATCAAAGTTTGCATTAGTAGTTTGAATTTTTTTTTTAAATTTTATCAAAACAAATGCTAATAAAATTTTAATCAAAATGAAATTTCAAACTGGAAGATTTTAGTTGGTTTTACTCTGTAGGTGATTTGAGTGGGAGATCAGAGAATTTTTGAAATTTAATGTTTTCATGAACCTTGTAAAAAAAAACAACAATATACATATATATATATATATACGTATATAACAACATTAAGTCAGCTTTTTAAACACATACACAAAGCACAAGCACTGGAAACATAGAAAGCTAAATATACAGAATAAAATAGAACTTACAAAGATAAATTCAAGAAATTACATTTAAAAAACTATTACTAACAAATATTAAAATTATAAAGATGTTTTTTTTTTGTATGACTTACAGAGGGAACTACAATCTTTTCTTTTCCTACACTGATTTCAGCATCTTCGTCTTCTGTGTTGTCCAAAACAATCACTCTACTCTGGACTTCCTCTTCAACTATGATGTTATCACTGTACAAAACATTCATTCATTCCCATTTTGAATGTCAAATGGTAGTGCCTTATTTTTATTAATACACAGAAATAGTGTTTAACAAGACAAATATCTAACACTTCTTGTATCTTTTTCAAACAAAAAGTTCAATATTAAGTCATGTAAAAGTCTTGAGTAATTCAATTTTCACACTAATACTAAACACAACCCTGCTAATTCTCTTATCTTAAAACTAACTTGTATACTTTTTTCACAAAATGTATATTTTGTTTCTCACAGTTGAGCTTCCAATTCAAACATCGAATGTGTGTCCTTAGAGACACTACTTAATAATATTTTGAACCTCCCAGCAAAGTATTTAATCATTATCTCTTTCAGCAGGGGCTCGGTCCCTAGGACTGACCTCTTAATCATTTTGTGCTTGTTACAGTTTTCATATTATAACTTTTAAATTAGTAAGTGTATGTTCATGAAATTTGGCAGGTTATCGGTAAACATTACAAGACTTTGATAACCAAAATATCAAATTTTTTAAAATTAAGTCTTAAGGTTTGTTAAGCAATGTTTTTCTCATGCCTTTATTCTTTTCGCATGTTGCATGTGACCTGTCTTGACTGTGTTTTAGTGGACTAGTATTTTGTAAAATAGTCACGTTTCAATTATTATACATTATTACTATTTACATATAAGTTGTTAAACTTTTTTTCTTAAAACATAGAACAGTAAATAAAGAAGTAAAGCAAACAATTACATCTTCTAGCTACAATCTTTGAACTCATTTGCTGCTTGTTGTAGATTGCTAACCCTTATAAAAAATTTTATGTGGAGGATGTGAAACAAAATAATCTATTTTAGGTTTTATATTTACATTTGAATAACCAAAAATCATAAATTACTATATCGATACCACTGAATTCCTTCAAGCTTAGTAACTAAGCTGTATTTCAGTCTAAAAAAAATATGAAATTTCAAGCAGATTTAAGACTCAACTTACCACCTTGAAGTTTTGTATCGAAAGAACGAGATGATGTCGTAACACATTCTGAGCTTTCAATTGGTTATTCAAATGTCATAGACAGAAGTAAGTGTATATAAGGGAAAATTTCCAAAAATGGAAAGAGGTGAGTTGTGTTTGATTCAGTTCATGAGTAATATATCAACAAATAGAAAAGAAAGATACGATGTTCTTATTTTATATTCTAGCTTGTCATTATCAGTAATTGGAGTTCCTAATTCGTATAAAATTATAGACTTTGTATTTGGACATCACAAACATCTAATTTGAACCAGTGCTGCATTCAACATACCATGCAACACAGAAAAATCAATGTTTAGGTGTGTTTTTTAATATTTACTTTTAAATTAAGAAATGAAATAATGTATAATACTAAAATTTAAATTATAATCTACAGTTTGATACCAAACTTATGGACATAAATTCATAAAATAGTAGCTCAATAACATTTTGAATGCGATTCAACAAATGTGATGACATGGCCTTTGATCAGTGACCCCAGCATTCGAGTTAACTCTTTCAACACAGGCTCAGTCAATTTAACTGACCACATGACCTCTTTGTACTTGATTAGTCTTTATAGATTTAATACTTCTAACTTTCAATATAGTTTGTATATCTTCACAAAATTTCGCAGTATTTCAGTTCATACAAAAAATCATATTTTTAAGTGAAGTATTTTTAATAGAATAAAAATTTGTCCATGAATATGTTGAGTATTTGTTTTGAATAGTCCGTGTGCAAACTAATTAAAAATAATTTTCCTCATCTCAAAAATCTAAAATTTCTTTTGTGTAATCCCTAAAACCTTATAAATGCATTTCAAACTTTTTTTCAGTAAGACTTTATAGCTTGTCTGTTATTTTCTCTACTCGATCTCAAAATAGGATTGGTCAATTCAATCAATCTTGTAACCACCCAAAAAAATCTAAATTACCCTTTTTTTCTTTCTAGAATGACTTCAAATTACAACATGAAACTACATTTGTTTATCTTAAGTATCTCTAAGTTCGTAACATTA